AAATGTTAGACAACCCAGGAAAGAACAGTCTCTTTCTCTTTAGTACATGAGACAGTTTTTGGTGAAATCAGGGATGCTAAACTCTTATATATGGCCTGCTAATTTCACCTTGAAAATTGTTAAAACTGCACTCTAAAATGGATATTACCATGGAGGGGAGGTAATATGGGGTGGGGCTGGGAATAAATGCCCAGCAATGCCCATTAGCTCCTTTTTGTACTTACTGCATCTTTTAAAAATGATTTTTTTTCAGACTACTAAATTCCCCATGAAACATTTTGGATATTATAATACCAGCAACTGAATTTCAAATTCCTAGGTACTATAAAATTTGTCCCTGTTATTACATGTTGCAGTATAATTTCTGACACAAATTATTTATTCCTTTAATATTTTGCTCTTATTATTTTATTAAAATGGCCAATGTTTTTAAAGGCAATATTACAGAAACACAATTCAAAGTATGTTGGCTTATTTTTACCAATCAGTAACATCCAAATGCTTAAGATCATCAAGGGGCCACATAACTGAATAGGGAGTATACATAACAAAAAAATACTGCTCTGGAGTTACAAGTTTCACTTATTTTGAAAATGCTAGAACAGTGTTCTTGATTAGAAATGGAAATACTGTTTAACTCACACATTAGGGATTGGCTATTAAATTTACTATTCATTACTCAACCACTTAACATCTTATCATGTTTACTTATTAGTACCTGTAAAGAGAGAATTATTTTCTTAGAGCAATAACTAGGACACCTGCATTCACAGTATAAACTTGTGCTTACCACATTATACTAAAATGTAATCAACTCAAACTTTAAGTGTTAGTGACCAGGTGGTAATTTTGCGTCTGAGTCACTGCCAATCTGCTCCGCAATACTGTAAGAGTTCATGATCAGTATATGCCTGTATTTCCCAAGAGTCTTTAAAATTTAAATTCCCCCGCAGCCTTTTAAGAAAGATCATTTCTCGTATCCTAAGAAAAGCATTTTCCCAGGAGCACAAGTCAAAGAGTAAAGTAAAATTGACTAAATAATTGGTCTGTCTCTTCTTAGAAAAGCTTTCCACAGGCACACATTGCAGGAGAAAAATAACTCTTTTTCCAGAGTCGACTGCTTTCAGACTAGAAAGTAAAATAAAGAAAGCTTACTGGGTGAGGGCCCTGATTATAAATAAAAATGTTAAAGCGCTAGGCTCACAAACTATCTTAATCATACATAAATCTGTAAAAAAAAGAGAGAAAAATCCATGTACTATACCTGTCATTCAGTTTTAACAGATATTAGCATATTTTAATATTTGCTTCAGTTCTTTAAAATAGAAGAAAAACTTCTAGAGAGCTGAAGGAGCCTCATCCAAACCTTTCTTCGCCAGAGTTAATATGTCTTATTTCTGTATGTTCTTATATTTTATGTACTTTCATTAGGTACATGTGTATCAAGTGTATCAATAAATAATGTATCATGTATTACTTTAAAGCTCTATATAAATACATCACACTGTATATATCCTTTGCCAACTTGCTTTTTTCCACTCAATATTATGTACATGAGATGTATCCATGTTGATGAACACAGATCTAGTTCATTCATTTTTACTTGGGGATAGTATTCCATTGTATAAATAAACCATAGTTTATAAATTTCCCTACTGAAGTACAGCTGAATTGTTCTACTTTATTGTCATTTTAAGAACTGCTATAATCATCTTTGCTACATGTTTATTTGGGTAATTGCCCCAAGTTTAGTTAACGTTTCGGCTCAATCAGGTTGAGGAAGGAAAGAACTGTAGAATGAAAGCTCACCCAGATGCCAATGTTAGGTCTAACTGTTACCAGAGAAGTTAGTGGCTCCAATTTCCCCATCACTGGTGAGAGTGGGCTGGCTCTTGCAATATATCTGTAGAAAAAGACGTTTCTAAGACTCGCCTGGGAGGACAAATGGCTTTTATTGGCCTGGAATTATGTTTCTCGGGTTGCAAAGGCCCATGTCCCTTAACCCAGTCCTGAAACAGGTGCAGCTGGAGGTCCAGTAGTGTCACATGGACGAATGCTGGAGAGCAACCCCTACCACGGGAGAGCCAGGAGCCTAGCACAGGAGAGAGAGAACCAAGAGCCAAGAGAGAATTCCCTTTGTTCAGAAGTTTAAATATTCAGGTTTCACAGCCCCCCGCCTTGCAGGGGCCACACCTATTCTGGCCAATTTACCTGTTCCCAGGTATGATTGACAGACAGGTAAGCACCTTCCCATGTCACTCAGACCTTATTGGGCATGTATCTAAACTGCCTTTGTCCAATCCCTTCCCCAATCAATCAAGACTTAGAGTGTTAAATTATCAAAGCTGTATAAATGGCATGCCTATATTATCTGGTCTTCCCTTTACTCCTTCCTTTCCTATTAAATAACCAGGTTATTATAACCGTATCATAACTACTACCTTCCTAATATAGAGGTCATGTGAACTGTATGATGATTCAGAAAAAAAAATTAAATAATGTGATCATTAAGGGAAACATGAGATGATCAATTTGTGGAATTAATGAAACTAAAGCTGATCTCTCTAAGCATAATTCACAAACAGCCCCATAGGAGGTGAGAGAATTATCCTTTTTTTTTTTTTCCACAAAAGAACTCTACAATAAAAAATGAACTCTAGCCCTGGCTGGCATGGCTCATCTGGTCGGAGCATCATCCCATACACCAAAAGGTTGCAGGCGGGTTCAATCCCCAGTCAGGGCGCATTGAAGTTTTCTCTCTCTCTCTTTCTCTCCCTTCCTCTCTCTCTAAAAATCAATAAACATATCCTAGGGTGAGGATTAAAAACAAACACAAAACAATGTAAACACACCACTATTACATATATAGAGAAACAGGTGATGAGGATAGGAAAATAAATGCAATACTAAACAGCTCCAAATCATAGTTTATTGCTACTTTATTTGTGGTTACCATTCATTTTCTTTTTTAAAAATATATTTTATTGATTTTTTACAGAGAGGAAGGGAGAGGGATAGAGAGTTAGGAACATCGTTGAGAGAGAAACATCGATCAGCTGCCTCCTGCACACCCCCTACTGGGGATGTGCCCGCAACCAAGGTACATGCCCTTGACCAGAATCGAACCTGGGACCCTTCAGTCTGCAGGCCGACACTCTATCCACTGAGCCAAACCGGTTAGGGTGTTACCATTCATTTTCTTAAGGACTGATACCCTATAAAATCTACTACTCTCTTATTACTGATGACTGAATTGTTTGATCATCAATAAAGAAGAGTTAAAAGAAAAAAATGTTTTAAAAAATCTCCATACCAGAAAAATCTGTATCCCTAATACAGTTGGAACATGTGGCAGATTTAACTCCGTAAAGTTATAAAAACCACTAAATGATTTAGAAGTCGTTAAAATCCTCACAGCATTCCTGAGTGTCTGAGAGAGGGACACTACCTCACACTACCTCAAAGCAGGCCTTTCACACCAGCTCAAAAACCACCACTCTTACATCTCTTCCTATTTTTTAGCTCACACCTTACATAGTCTCACATTCATACACAATTATAGAAGGCGTTTACAAGCCGGTCATATTCTTTGGAAATAATCTTAAAATGGACCCAGCAATATTACATTACATCCGTGTCTTTTCATGAAAAGACAGACGATTAATAGTAATCTTTCCAACCAACCACACAAAAACTAAAATCAGGTATCAGGAGTGTTCTTACTAGTAGTAAACCCGTTGCTTCTTTAACAGTCAAACTGTTCTAAGTGTTTAAAATCACAATCTAAATTGTGAAAGGCTGAGCTCTGGAGAAAAGGGATTCCAGTTAACATTGCTTAAACCTTTTTTTTTTTAAAAAAAGGCTTATATAATGCCACTCGAGTCCCCCCCCACCCCCCCAAAAAGCCTGTTTAGTACTTTACTTTCTTCATCATTATCTTTTTAAATGTTAATATTGTGAAACAGCTTTGAACTTTTTTTGCTATAGTTATAAGCCTTGAATCTGTCAACAGTAATCACAGTTTGAGAACTAAGTATTAAATTTAAACTAGGTATAGATTCCATCAGCATCTTTAGATGCCCTTATAGATTCCAAAGTTACTACAGACAACCCTGAAATCATATCTTCTCTAACTATAAGTCTATGTATCATAAAATTATCTGGAAACTATCCCTTGATTTTTAAAAGTGAATTATAGTTCTTTCCTAAAAATATTTAGTTCTCTTTCCCACCATTTAGTAAAAAAATAATAATAATAATGTCAGTTTGGGTCATGATATAGTGGAAAGAAGAAATTATTAGTTATAAAAATAGCTAGTATGTATTGAATATCTACCAGGTGCCAGGCACTGTAATAAATGATACATGAACCATCAAATGTAAAGATACTACTCCGAGGAAGGTACTTTGACCTCCAACTTCAAGATAAAGAAAATGAGGCAGGAAAGTTAAGTAACTTTCCCAATGTAAGCGGATGTATATCCAGATCCAAATCCTAGGATCTCAACCACTCTGCTTTTATTAGTAAGATTAAAATATTGCCATTTACTGCAAAAGCAAAATTTTCACTGCTTTTAAATTCTTGAAGTACTTCATTAACCCAGAGGTGGTCCCTCCAAGCCATTCATTGCGATGATAAACTGAAAAGTAATATTGGGCCAATAAGTTTGCTGAATGCTTATACCCGTTCATCATAATAAACACACAACGGAAAGCCTTTTCAAGCACAGTCACAGCCACCCACACATCTACAGGGCGACAGACGAAGGATATGCATTGGAGCTCTTCCCACCCTGACCCCGAACGGGAACACAGTCCCTGGGACCGGAGGGTGCGCTTCCCCTCCCCTCGGCACCGAAGGCCTCCCTCCCGCGCGGGAGGCAGCACCGCTCTTCTGCCAGCGCAGAGCTGTGTCCCGAGCAGCACCCCCGCCAGCGCCGGGGCTATTGCCTCCCGCAGCCCCTGCTCACGCCCCGGCGTCGCAGCTCCAAAGAACTTACCGCCCTCGGGCAGATCGTTTTACACACGAAAGAACTTGGCTGAACACTAATGCTTAATAGCAAAGTCGTTTTCTTTGTCCGAACCCGCCTTTTCAAGCCGCCCAAACCCTCGATCCCCTCTCCGCGGCGATTCCGGGGCAACGCCGCCCGTACACTCCCCCAGGTTCGCTCGCGGCCAGCGCCCCGGGATTTCAGCGCAGCGCTAGGAGTGAGCATTCCACGGAGCCTCATGAATGAATGGGGGGCCGGCAGCGTGGGTGGGGCCGGGAAGAGGGGGGTCGTGAAGGCATGTCACGCGGCTGAGCCCACCGCAGGGGCGCCCCGT